GGCAGAGGTACTAAGGGGAAATAAAAGAAAAAACTGCATGGAAGACTTTCAAGTCGGTGGCAAACGACATTCTGGCTAATGAAAGAGCAGAACATTGCAGAAAACTGGTAGAAGATTTTCTGAAGACAGACAAACATCTCGGATTTAACTTGTCGTTGATGATCCACTTCTTACAAGCGTATCTTGATTTTCCCACTCAAAAACTCTGGTACTGTGACGGACGAGCACGGTGAACGATTTCATCAAGACAATGTAGCAATCAAGAACAGGTGTCAAGGCATGTGGAGTCTCTCAATGATATTTGGTTATTATTGGACTATGACTGAGATCCTTCTGCAATTTATAAATGACAAACTAAGCTTACTTCTGAAGCGTATTCTGCGCTTGTATTTTTTCAATAAACATATATATTGCCATCCTGTACTGCTCTGGTAGCCTACGTAGAACAAAACAGAATAGAAAGATTTTTCAAAGCAACGTAGTCTTTATAGGTGTTAGCCATTATACTAATGTCTATGACTTAACTGCTTAAATATCTCTACATCTGAAGCCAATCATCTAATTTGAAGGTCCTTTTTTATTTCAATAGCATGTGCATCTAAAAAAGTTATAAAATGGAAATGTATATATGACTGCAATATATTGGACTCTCCGGTTGTTTTCGATGTATGACAGTCAAGCAGCTCATTTTTTTTTTGAACCAACAGCCAGACTAGCCCCTATATATCATTTGATTATAGTGGTGAGGGGCTTGTGCAGAACCAACCAGACTTTCTGGAAGAGCCGAATACAGAGAACAGGTACACAAACGACCCGCGTCAGGTTTTGAATACAGCGTTGTCTTTCACCTAGACTGTTTGCCACGTAAACCTGTAGAACTCAGTCTGTCTAGCTATTCACTCATATTTGGCGGGGGAGGGTTCAGTATATTGCACTAATATATACATTTCAATTAAATTACTTTTCCGAATGCACATAATCAAATGATTTTAAATAAGTTTGCATCATAAATTAATGCATTTTAAGAAAAATATGATTTTGATAATAAGATCAATTTAATGTTGCTGAACATTTCTCTTCCCTGATTGTCGTCATGGTTAGTTTATATTCATGTAATGAGAACTTGTATCTCGGCTGTTACATTCCCAAAACAAACAGCAGTACTTCGTTCCGTCACCTTGCACTCCTAGTAAGATAGCAACGACCTTCAAATCTCTGCAAAGTTACCAATTAGATTAGTCATAGTTAATAAATCTCAGTAGTTATTTCATATTATCAAAAGTTTCATTTATATGAACTGCCTGACCAATTGGGATTGAAGGTAAAATATTATTTAAGATATGTCTTTGAGAAATCAATGAACAGCTTCCATCCATTGAATTGTAACTGATTGCATAAGACCATTGATATCATTACAATGCACTAAATCAGCTCCCATAAGGAAAGATAGAACTAGATCCATATGACGATTACGGACATAAGAAATCCGTACATTACCAGCTTATAGATTCCACTACTGTAACCTAACAGTTCTGCTTTACTCTTAGAAAGTTCTAAATCTCTAAGTCCTTTAGGTCACTTTTGATTTATGAAGTGTGCTTCAGAGAATGATGCCTAGACAATAATCTTGGACATATGAAGTTGCTTCATCTCCCACAAGGAAAGTTGGTTCTCTTTGACGCGCCAGAAGGTTTTTCTCACCTGACTTCATCCTTCAAATCTACCATTCGTCCTTGCATTGGATACTCTTGACATATCTGGACTGGTAACCCCGCTGTTCATCTCAAGGTCATCAAAAAGTTCATCCTGACTTGCATCTCGTCTACAGTCACTTACTCCCAAACGTGATGTGGCTTCCCTCTGTCTTTTCTACAAATATTTTCATGGCAACTACTCTGACGAGTTTCGACAGTAAAAGGGTGGGACCCAGATGCCAACCTGGTAGAATGAATTTAAGTGTGCATCTTGGTCCCACCCGTTTAGTGTCGAAACAGTTAAATGTAACCGCCTCTTCTACTGTATTAGCTTCTTCTCTCACACTTCCCGACAGTGGAACTCCTTTCCTCTTACCCGCTTCCCTGATAGCCATGATCTTCAAATATTCAAATGTAATGTCAATTGACATCTTCTGACGCCTTGGCCCTGATCCCTGTCCTTCTCTTTATCCTTTCCTCAAACAACCCCTTTTTACTCTTGCTTTCACTCACTGTAACCACATGCGTGTTAGTGGCATTCCCGCCATGCTTAAAAAAAGGACTTTGAGGTTTTATTATCTTCCCCATCACCTGAGTCAATTGTATACCATTCCTGTGCTTCTGGGTCTGATAAATTTTCATAGGACAGAGACATAGCGATAGAACGCAAAGTTGATGGAATGTTTGAATATTGCACTGTCTATTTCTTGTTCTTTGGTATTTCCTTAACAACAGGGGGGGTACTAGGCAGAAACAGCAATCAATGGCATGATTCTTTGGCCCTCTTCAAATCATAGATACAGCTAAAAGTATAGATTTTTTTCTTTCTGGTTAGCCATTGGCTGGAATTTGTTGCACAGGTACTACAGCATGTGTGCTGCCAACTTGTCATGTTGGTCTCTAATTTTGCATCCAAAGTATAATTAATAAGCTTTTCTCTCTACAGATGTTATATTTCGCTTTTGAGATGCAAAAGTCATTTTGCCACACACATAGTAGAAATTATTGGCTTTATTCAGACACTGACGGGTCATTTTCCCAAGGTGTGTTAAATGTGTAAAAATCTAAGTGGAAAGGAGAATAATAATTAAAATTGAAAAGAGCAACACTAGTATCATATCTTGAAATCTAGAGCCAATCAACAATTTTGGATATCATTTTTATTTCCAGTGCCGCAGAGTAATCTAAGATTGGCTGTTTTCGGGTTTGAAGCTTTCAGGCTGTCGACGAAACTGTCCCACGTGCCTTCCTATGTCAAGTTAATTATTGAATTTGATGGCAGATAAAAACGCGCCATTTCCTCAAAAATCCCCACGGAATATTTTTAATCTAACCCCTTCCACCACCCAGGCAAGGCGATAGTGCCACTAAGATGCAAAAATGAAAGAGAATGAAAATACTATGCGGAGATGCGTTATCAGGTTGTAGACGAACAATACTTGTACATAGACTAACTTCATAATTTTCTCCTTCTTCCACGTACCTTTTCACTTCAGGACTTGGTTGGCCATAGCTCTCCACAGCTTTCTATTCTTTTTAGCTCTAAGTAAGTTTTATCTTTTTGAGATCCTTCCTAACCCCAACTCTGCTAACAATTTGCACAAGCTATTTAGATGTCATTCGTTACTTTTCTTTGCTTCTCTTGCCTTCAGTATGTTCAGTGAGTGTCAAATTCTCCAAGCCTTCTTTTCTCATTGTTTACCCAAGAAATTCCAACTGTCTCATTGTGATTCTAAATAATAGTACCCTAGTGTTTACATTTTTTTCTTAAAACTTGAATTCAATAATAACATAATTGGGCGATCATAGCTCTCCACAACTTCCTGTGCTTTGTAGGTCTTAGTAAGTTTTGTATTTTCTAACCCTCCTAATCTTTGTTCTATCAACTATTTACAAAAGCTTGTTACTCGCTGCCTTTCACGGTTTCTCTTGCCTTCGATATGTCGAGTCAATGTCAAATTTTTCAAGTCCTCTTAATTATGGACACAAGAAAGTGTAACTGCCTCTTTCTGATTCAAAATAGAAGTGTCCTTTTTGTTACAATTTTCATTAAATACTATAATACTAACACCATATTGTCCTCGTGTGTGTTGTTGTTATCACAACGTTTCAGCCGTTCTGCGCTACGGCCTTCATCAGACGTATGCCAAACTGAGCAGCTTAAACAGAATTCTGAATTGAAACCTTTATTTACTCTACGAGGTTAGATTGTTTTCGTTTCAGTACCAATATGTAGGGATATCTCCTCTATTTCGTATTTTTAGTACTTTTCATTTATTGTTCATAGATTAAATAAAGTCCAGAATTCTCTGTGGTTTATACAGATTGACATACTCCTGATGAAGGCCGGAGCGCACAAATGCCGAAACGTTGTGATGACAATAACAAAAGTGAGGGAAATAGTTTCACTTTTCGATCACACCGCTTTTACCGCATCTAAACCTGCCAATCACCCAAGCTGCGGTATTTAAGACCTAACCAAGACCCTGGTCAAATGGGCAAAGGCTACACTTACGTTACTTGATTACGGCTTTAAGGTGACATCTTCCTTTCTATATGTGCAATATTTAATTTAGTTTTAAGTTTAAGAAGCAACGGTTTTATCAGATGAGCCTCGTTACTATCGCTTACGCTAGTGTAAGAGAATTCGTTTTTTTTCTCCTTGAATTTCCTGAATAAATAATGTTTTTTTTTCTTTGCATTGCAATAAAAAAGAACGGAAGGATTATTTCATAGGGACAGGTTTGTGATCAAGCTTTCTGCAAAAAGATGAAAATACGGTATTGCACACAGAGAAAAGTGGAGGCTGGTAAACAAGTCTCTGTACCAACACGCCGTCCGTGCGGCCATCCATCCCTATACTCGCTTGCACAGTGCTTCCAACCTTCACTCCCCCCCCCGTCCACGTCACTTTGAAATCGGAAAACCCACCCACTGCCATTTCTTACAATCACGGCAAGACAAAAGAGAGAAAATAAAGAAAGATAAACAAATATAACAGGAATCAAAAGAACTAAGCAGTCAGTCGCAATATAAAATAAAGTTAAAAAAAAAGTAAAGTTTTAAGAAAAAGTAAATGAAAATAGTTTCAAAGAGTAAACGAAACAAATATGGCGCTGGTGTGAAAAAGTGAGTCACGTGATTCGGAGAGGCAAGTATTGTCTTAAGATCATGCCGCGTCACATTCGGATCATGTCAACGTCGGTTGCAAACAGGCATTTCCATTCCCTTTCACAGAGACTCCACCCATTCTCTAAGCATACTCTCACATAAAAGACACCCCGGACAACAACAACGAAGACAACA